AAGAGCTGGTCCCTCCAATTATACAGCCCGCGTGGAAATAACGGCGTGCGCTCAGGACGGTCTCCTCCTGAGCAGCATCACCCAGCTGGCTGCTGTTCAGTCAGCTGCACCAGGTGCTGCTTTGTCTGGTGTTCAGTGAGACAAAAAGCGAAGCCCCGAGAATCCCGCTCTCTGTCAACGAGGCCTTTTCTATTCCAGCTTCGACTGACAGAAACTCCGTTTTGGGAGCTCGGTAACGTGTGCTTAATAATCCTGCAGCCGCAATGGGAGATAATTAAGAAAACAGGTGGATCCTTTATTCAGACAAGATGGGGCCCAAGTGAGCCCCTAAGAGAGAGAAGCTGGCTTGTGCTCGGCAGTGGAGGGAGTCGATGTACAAAGACAGGCAGGAGAGGACAGCTTAGAGCCAGTTCTACCCTCCCTCGTGCCTCTTGGCTGTACATCATCTCACTGGCAATTTCGTCTGCGTCTTAAAGTTTTTGAGTCTCTCTGGGCCTGTAATAGTGTCTCAGGAGATGCCTGTTTCATCTCCTGTGAATGGTACAGTGTTTGATGCTAATGGCCTTGGGCCCGCAATCAATAAAGATTATTTTACTCATCCAATACTGCACATAATTCTTTTTTAGTGACGTGGGACTGCTTTCAAATTAAATTGGGATGCATTTTACACACAGAGATAACAATAAGACTGCTGCTGCATCGCAGCTCAACCCATTACGCCAAGATGCATGAGCTCTGTTGCTGTATGATTTTCTCCCTGCGAGAGATACTGGCTCAGTGGCTCAGCGGGACCATTCCCGGAGGAGGCATTGAACATAGAGAGGATTTTACCAGGAGGAGACCAAGAGCTCTTCAGATAAACCACTGGAGGTTTTTCTTAATTGTTGTTCCTAAGTGCGCCTTGCGGTATGTCAGCTGACCATTAGAGTAGCACTCCAGAAAGGGTTGTGTTTTCAGACTCGTGTGATTCCATTTTTAGGTAATGGCTTTTTACAGCTCTTCTCTGGTGAATTAGCAGTGTTACTGCGTAATTCCAGTCACTGACTAGGCACTTCAGTCATCTTGTAAAGCAAGATCAAGGGAGCCTGATGTCTTCTCACCCTGCATGGCCTGTAATAGCACAGTGTTTCCCTTCTTCCCTACTGACCACACAGCACTCGCCAGCAGTCTGCAGCACATCTACCCGAGCAAAACCCAGTGTGGCTCATACAGCAAGTACATGGATCCACAGGGGAGACTCAGACAACAGGAAGTCCAGTTCCCGATGGATCTCTAGTTCATCAACACAAAGCACGAAACCAGAATATTTGGATACTTGTTTTTAGAAGCGTAGCCTGTCGTTTGATCTCGCGCGGCAGATTCCAAGCCGTGCAGCTGACGAGAGGGGCCTCAGCGTGGCTCAACAGTGGAGGCCGAGAGAAGGATGTGAGCTCAGCGCTGCACTCTTCACTGTGTGCGAGTGTGAACAGGCTGGGCTCCATGTGGCATGGTGATACCAGGCGGCACCAGGTGTTTCGTTGATCCTCGTCTCTGAAATTTAGGACTTGTTCGAGGAACAAGTGCCAGTGTTTCCCTCGGGGAGTCTAGGAGCTTGTCCCCCGTGTACTGAGATCTGGGGTGCAGCCGGCACTCCCCAAGCCCCAGCAAACCCCCCCCCCCCCCCAACACACACACCTCTTCACCTCCCCAGAATGAACCTGACACTGTTCTATTTCCGTTTAACCAACCACATGATAATGCACCACTTAAGGTGCAACCAGTAATTAAAACGGAGGTAAAAGGGATTTCAGTAGCCAGGTAAGTAGTGTTTACACGATGAGATTGTGCGAGGCAGAGTTTCCATTGAGCACTTTATGGTTTTGGAGATTATACCGTTGTTGTGTCTGGATTGAGTTTTCCATCACGTCACAGTCTCTAACTGGAGACTGTATCATGTAGGATGTAGCTATTATACCAAAGGTGCTACTTAAGACAGGGTTATATATAGTAGAGCAGTGGAGTTTGGCAGAAACAGTGCGTGTCTCCTGTGGATTCACCGAGGTCTGCCTGCTGGAGTGTGGATCTCATGATGCATATGCTGTTCGGATTGAAAGAATGCTTTGGAATAAGGGGTGAGTCTCCTGCAGTTTCACAGAACCCTGTCCTTGCTTCGGGAATTGAGCAGGATATTCTTTGCCTGTCACTGGAAATATCTGCAGGGACATAAAAAGTGTAACAAAATAGATCTGATCTTCAGTGATTTGGCCTCTCCAGGAACATGATCACTCAGTCTTTACCACTTTAACCTGGTAGATGCCTTCAGTGGTAGAAGGAGTGTTGTAAAAACGGAAGTATAGCTACGTATTTGTTTAAGAGCAGTTCATTGCTTTGCTGAAACACCAGGGATTGTATCTTCAAATAAATGTTGTGACTGAATAAAGCTGTGTATGTTACTGTTGGCTAGGCATGCTGAAAAAGAAACGTGAACATCCTTAGCCTTAAAGGAACAAGTACTAGGTTTATTCCATGCTGAAAAGAGATGGTTAGCTTATTTCTGTAAGTCTGAGATAGCGAGTACTAAGGTCTTGAAAGAGTTGAGTGTGAGCTCAGACAGCAGCTGTTTTTCTCTCTCCTGTTGGATAGTACAGAGAAACTTGCTCCTAATAGGGACTGAGGGAGATCGGTGTGCTGAACAGCCCTGCTCTGCCTGGAGGTTTCCAGACAGGATTCCCAAGTCCCAGGTGTTTTAACTTCTCCAGCAGGCAGTTCTGATCGGGGCAGTGAGCTGTGAGATCGCTTTGTCAGGCGGTCTGCAGTACCGTAGTCTGAAAGTGGTAGAGTTGTAATGAAGAGGTTACTGGGGCATCTCGACGGATCAGATCAGGAACATAACTCTCCCCCGCACCTCCACCTTGGCCCCTGACAGTATTTCAGGTCTCTTCTTCGTGGAGGCAGCTCTTTGTGGGGGTCTGGAACAAGATGTCCCGCCGTGTTGATGAAGCCGATACCCTGGCTTCTTTCAAGATGTGGCTGGATAAGCTCCTCCAGTCAGGACAGGAGGCACTACTTTACACAAGGGGTGGTGGGAGTGTGGAACAAGATGCCTAGCAGTAGTGTGAATCCAATATCCTGGGTTCCTATGAAAAATCATTGGATGAGAGCCTCAGCTCAATTAGCTACTGACTATCAAACAGGCTAGATGGGTGTCCATTCGCTGATATCTGTTGTTTCTAATGATCAGTACATTTATTTAGTTAACTTGTTTGTCTGTTTTTGGACAGACGCTGCTGGTTGCATCATATGTGATAACATGTTAATTATTCTTCTTCTGATTAGTTAAACTCCTGAAGGGTGAATTCTTCATGCCTTGGAGAGGATAATCGGTGCCCTAATTCTTAATCTGGTGAATGCTTTTCTGTTCTGCTGTTTGGAGAGAGCCAGAAACCACTGCTGACTTTTTAAACTGTGGGCTCAGTAAGTGCTTTCTCGCTGCTTCTCGCCGCAAAGCAAAAAGTCAGAAACAAGTCTCTAAACCCACACAGGAGCGAGAGCTATATTAGACTGGCTGAGGTTTAGAGGATGTAGTTCAGATGGTTGTTATTAACAGCTTGTCTGTGAAAAGTGCTTTGATATATAGAGAGCAGCCCTGAAAATACAGGATGCTAAGGGCTCTAACATTCACCTGTTTTGTTTAATAATCTGAACAGAAATTCTCCTGTACCTAAGCAAACGTACATTCCAGTGCCTTTTGTAATTGCTGTTCTATTTTGCAAGAGTAAAAGGAAGAGAAAGCAGGAAAGAATGCACTTGCCGCACGAAGAGGTGTTTGTGGCGGAGTGTGTCAGGAGCTCTTTCTCCACAGGAGCCCCGTGTGCCCAGGTGGTGCTTTTTCTACACCGCAGGTCAGGCTCTGAAGAAAAACACCCCCGAGGATGGACCTGGGGGGTTGAGCTGTTAGATTTTCATTTTATCTCATTTGCCTCTCTTGCGCTTGATGGTTTGATCATTGACTAAAAGCTAAGTGTTTATCTGGTGCTGCTGTCTTCGTGTCTTTCTAGCTGGATATGCAGTGGGCAGAGGCTCAAAGTTCGGCTTGTGGCGAGTGGGTGTGTTCCCTTGCCTTGCACCTGGGCTCTGTTGCAGTCAGTCATTGATGTGGTGTGGAGCTATTTTCAGCACAGGCTCAGACTGTTGCAATCAGATGGCATAACACTTTGAAAACATGGGTGTGTGCGTGCGTGTGTGCGTGCGCTGTTAGTGTTCACTGGTCTTCTGGGCGTGGCGGAGACTGAGCCTGCCTGATTGCATCACTCTGGGTTGGACTGCTCCTCCTGGTGCAAAGACGAGGCTTTTCAGCAACAGAACAGTTTTTCTAGAGCAGAATCAGGGCCACGCTAGGCATCTCAGTGGAGAGACAACAGGAGATGGTTTTTTTCGTGACAGATATAATCACATCATTCTTTTTTTTTGACAATGTGTAATTCCTGATCTCCTGATCTGTTGCTCACTTTTTTTTTAAAATGTCTTTCTAAAAGTCCTATGTCCAGTCTTGTACCGCATTACACTGTGGATGGAATAAGGCGTAAAATAATTCTGAATTCTTAACGTACACATGAATTGACCAGCATGAAGGTTTTGTCCTTTTTCAAGAGTGGCCTTTAGCTTTAAAGATAATCTGTCAGCTTTTTTCAGGGGCTGTATTACTGGCAAGCAGAGTGGAGCTGTGATCTCTTGCTCAGAGCTCAGGATCACTGTCAGGCAGGGCTCGTCAGATCTGAAACACACGGATCTTTTAAATACTGTTTAATTGAACTAATAAAGCTGCCTATCAATGCAGTTACGACAAAGCTCAGGTAGAATGAAGCATTAAAGATGCTGTGGTCTTGGCGTACTGGAGTTCTGCACCACTGGAAGGCTGTGTATCAGTGCTACCTGCTTTTTATTTTTGCCGTTGTTGGTACAAAACACTGGAACAGTGTCTCTGCTGAGGGCGACTCATTGTGTCTCTGCTGTCTTCGCAGGTTGTGTCAGGGCGGTGTCGCCGGACCACATGGCTTACACAGTGAGCCCCACTTCGGGGGGGTCCGTAGGCCCCCAGTACTGCGTCACCAAGGTGGAGCTGTCGGTCAGCGGGGAGAACCTGCTGGACAGGGACGTCACATCCAAGTCAGACCCCTTCTGCGTGCTGTTCCTGGAGGTCAACGGGAGGTGGTCCGAGGTAAGAGAGAGCCCCCCCCCAGCATCGGGCATGTCTCCGCGCGCCAGCCAGACCCGCGGCTGGCCTGCACTGGCCGTCTGCACCAGCAGATCGGGTGGAGATGCTAACAACAGCTTCAGAATTTTAATTAAAGTTCAGTTAAGTTCATGGAGGATGGATTGTGCACAAAGTGTGAATTAGCTAAGACACCAGGTTTAACACCCGAACTCTTGTGAACGGTACGCTGGGATCGTCAGCGAGCGAGTATGAAGAACTCTGCACAGTCGAGCGGCAGCACTGCGTCCCCCATCACCACACTGGAGTATTAGTGCAAGAGCACCGCCTTCTGGTCCACCAGCACCATGAGACAGGAGCCAACTGGTTTTCCATTCCAAACACAACAGGCTTTTACCGGCACCAGTATCATCTGCTGCATTTCTGATGCCTCTCAGAATCGGACACAGCCACCAGGGCAGGAGAGCAGGTGGACGTTTCTTGACAGTGGACCCGGTAGGAACCACCCCTGCGCTGCTCTCAGACCCAGCGGACAGGAAAGAGGAGCAGCTGGAATTCGGAAGGCCGCCCCCTGCCTTCTGCATGGGCGGGAGGAGAGGTTACTGCCACCCAGGAAAGGTGTGAGCCGGGTCTGTGCTGACACAGCTGCGCAGGAGCGCAGGCAAGACCGGAAAAGGGGGAAAAAACTAAGAGTGAGAAACCAAGAGGAGAAAGACGCAGACAACAGGAAAGAGCAGTAGATCAGCATGAATGATCATTCCCGAGCTGTGTAATCCGCAGGAAGAAAAAGCCAGTCAATCAGCTTGTCTTTTGTAGTAGAATTACAGGCCACTTGTTGCCCCAGCTGCATCAGTCTCAACAGGGCCAGGCTTAAGTCTTTTTTTTATTTTATTTTGACACATCTGCTACTTAATCTCCTGCTGCAGAGCCGCAGCCTCTCGTCTCGGATGTCTCGCGCCATCGGGCGAGCTAGGGCTCTCCGAGCCGTGGAGCCAGAGGCATCGGCTGTACGTTCCTGCTGCGGAGCCCGGTTTCCCGCGAACGTCCAGTCAGGGCAGCTCTTCGCCTGCGGAGCTTCTGGGGGTCAGCCGTGGCACCTGGGGCCCTCCTGCCGCCAGAGCAGCGGGTTCTGCAGGACGTGGAGTCGGTGGCAGAGTTTTACCGTTATTTTACACTGTAAAACAACAAAGGCCGTTGCAGAGATCAACCCTTTAGAAATCAGGTGGATTTCCTATAGAAATTCTCAAATCAACAGGGCATGCTAAGACTTAAGAGATTCTGTTTGTGTTTTTTTAGTTTATGTGAACTGCCTCACCCGTGCAGAGCTTAGACAAGTAACACTAGTCCTGCTGTCCAGAGATGACTGAATTTCCTCTCAGGCTTTGAAGACGCAGGAATGCGCTGGTACCATTTGGGGGGTTGAAGCCGAGACGAACAGCTGATCTCTGCGGCCGTTTTCCCAGCAGCGCCGCAGCCCTGTAAGAAGCCTCGTCACTCTGTTTGTGATGCAGATGCTTTCCCTTTGAAAACCTTCCATTTCTTAAAGCAAAATTCATCAACTGCAGAGAGAGCGCAAGAACATCTCCTTCTGCCCTAATTAAAGGGTCCGTTTACGTAACAGCTCTGTTTTCACTGGATTAAACTGCCCAGGTCCACCCAAAACAACAGAGGCAGCATTCAGGAGTGAGTCACCTCTGACCCTGCTGCTGTTTCTAGGCAACTGAACCAAAGACTGTTGTGTGACATCACCCAGCCGCTTCTGGGTACCTTGGATTTCAGTAAATTAAACGTGCTGAGGCTTGAGAGGAAGGGGGGGCAGTGGTGGGATGAACAGCAGCACAGCAAGAATCAGATCATCTGTTTGGCAAGCTCGCTGTGCGAAAAGAAACCACAGACTAAGAGAGGATGGAATGAAATGATATGAGCTGATTGTTTGCTTTCCTCCGTGTTTTTTCTGTTACAATGAATCGGTCCGAAACCGGCAGGTGGGGGAGAGCGCATTGAGTCGTGGAGTGCAGGCGTGTGTGGTTTCTGTTCGAGGGCGCGTGAATCGGGGGTCTGTCAGGGGTCCTGATGTCGCACCTCTGCCGCAAGGTCTGCAGCCTCAGCGATGGCATGTTAGAGCCCAGATCTTCATGCAAAAGGGGCAAAAGATGAATCCAGATCTGCCAGTCATCGTAGCCCGTCACTGTTGGCCACACGTGTTCCCAGCTCACATTGCCTGTGGAACCTTCCCGCAGGCTTGTCAACAGAGCGAGCAGACTGGAGCACCAGAAAGGTTCCAGGCATCTCTTCTGTCCGATTCTGATCATTTGGAAGTTTGGCATTACCATTATTAATAATAATGAAGTAATAATAATAATAATAATAATAAGTAATAATAATGAAGTTTGGCATTACCATTATTAATAATAATGTTCACAGTAGCTCCTGGGTTTCTGGTCAGTGCAGCAGTACCTGACTGGAAGAGCGCTGTGTAGTGAACTGGCCTTACGCAGGACTGCAGCTGGTGTAGCAGAGGAGCCTCCCCATAGCAGCATGCTGGCTGGCGTGTGGGGTGTGCCGTAGATCTGGGGTGCTGCCAGTTCAAGCTGTGTGTGTGTGAAGAGCCAGAAGACCTGGCTGGGATCCAGAGTGTGAGACGGCGAGAGACAGAGGCACATTGTTCCAATGAGAATGGAGGAAAAAAACTACACAGCCTGGACTTCCCCCTCATAGATTCACAGCTTGTGTACCTGGGAACGCCTGGCTGTTTCGGTCCTTCTGGGCACAATTTCCAGACAGCATCCGCTGCACCAGTGTCCTGGTTACAGAGGGGGAACGACCAGACGATGTTACAGGGGGGCACGCTCCTTGATTGTAGCCCTCCTCCCTGTCAAGGTGATCTGGGGGAATCTAAGCCGGTCACTCGTGGAGGAGAAGAAAGAAAACGCAACATTTCGGCTGTGGAGCCTTTTTTCGGGTGTCTGAAGGCTCCACATACGAAATGTTGTGTTTTCTTTCTTCTCTTTTCAGCATGGAATAAACCTACAGTATTACTTGTTCCTTTGTATCCTATGCATGCTGATGCAGCTCCCCACCTGAACTACTCCCTCTTAATACTGAATAAACCTCCAAACTGATTTTTTCATTTTTGTTTGTCTGCCCCCTTGCTTGTGGCCTCCTGCAGATCGGCCGGACGGAGACGGCGGTGAACAACCTGAACCCCGTGTTTGGGGTGAAGTTTGTGATTGACTACCACTTCGAGGAGATCCAGAAGCTGAAGTTTGCTCTGTTTGATCAGGACAAGTCGAGCACACAGCTGTACGAGCACGACTTCCTAGGGGAGTTCACGTGCACCCTGGGAGTGGTAGGCATCCTTCTTGGCGCTCATTCCTTGCGAGACAGACGCGTGAGGCTGGTTGCAGAACAAGTGGGCACAGTCAACATGACCCTCCTCCAGATCCTGCTGCGGCTATTTTTTTCTTTAATGATTGAATCTCAGAAACTGAGCATGAGGTGTAGCCTGTTGAAATCGGAGACCAGCTGGCTATGCATGGTGCTGTTTGTTTTGCACGCGAACAACATTTCGTGGAAAGCACAGGCACGTGTACAACATGCTCTTGTAAAGATAAGAGCTTTCAGGACTGTAGCCAATAATGTTTGTTTGCAGTGAACATCTTGAGTCATATTCCTAGAAAATGCTGTAAAGCTCAAGGAGCACTGACATTCAAGGAAACAATTGTAAACGTCAGATATTGATCTAAGGAATTGACGTCAGATTGCCACAGTCCTTTATATAACCAGGTGAGTCATATGAGAAAGAATTCCCAATTTGCAGTGATTGCCAGCAGTGCCCTCGTTTACACAGCAGGGCGTCTACTGCCGCAACATCTGTACCACATCTGGGATTTGAACTCGAGACCCCCCACTCCTGGATTCTCTGCACTGCTGGCTAAAACAGGCCAGTTCTGTAGTGAATATCTGCTCACTGTATAAAAAGCATACGATGAGATGGTCTGACATAGGTTATATATCTACGCAGTGACGTCAGTGAGTGAGACGAAGTGTGATGTGACCCTTGTCTACCACAGGAACAATGCAGTAGTAACTTCTTGCCATAAGAACTGTAAATGCTCAGGTAGAAGCTGTTCTGAAAGCTGTGCTGCCCAGTTCTTGACTTCTGCCAGTGTGTGAAAAGCAGCCCTGTGTGGATCCTGATATCCTGTTTCCTGTGTTTCGGGGGCCAGATCGTGTCCAGTAAGAAGCTGACGAGGCCTCTGGTCTTGGGAAATGGGAAGCCAGCTGGGAAAGGAGCGATCACGGTAAGAGGCTCAAGCTCACCCTTATCCCGAGCAGGAATACAAGCCTAAAGCCGACTGCTTGTCCTGACCCAAGTCCTAGATCAAACAGTAACCTGAGAACCTTTCGGAATCCTAACACTGTGTCTAATTCTAACCCTAACCAGACACGTAATCTAAATTTGAGCCCAACCTCTTAACCCAGCGTCTGACCAGCATCAGTCAGAAAGGCCAGACGAAAGAGATATTTTCAACATTCCTTTGCAGGCTGACAGGTGTCTTTGTCAGTTCTGAAAATAAAAGAAGGAAACAGGAGCTTAGACAGATGCTGGAATAAAAGAAAAGATAGGTGGTAAATCAGCAGGCTCTGAGATCTAAAGATTCCTGATAGAGCCGTTCCCTCAGAGCGCTCCTGCTGCTATGACACGCGTAACTCGTTAAAAGTGGATGCTTTTCCAAATCACTGAGGCTCCTTGATTTCAGCTTTTAGAACTGCTGCTACTTTTACTTTGAAGAAATGCAGTGTCGCGGTAAAGGCGTTTCACAGCCATAATACTGATTCCAAATTCTATACCTCGCATCAGTGCTTGTGGATGCGTGCTTGGGCCCGAGTGTGTCCTGTTGAGAGGTTCCTCAGGGGTCAGTCTGTTTGGGTTGTTCTTTTGCAGATAACTGCACAGGAGCTGTCGGACAACAGAGTAATAGCGCTGACTATGTGCGGAAGAAAGCTAGACAAAAAGGTAAGTTCTCAGCTCAGAGCTGCTCTTTACACAAAGGGTTGTGGGAGTGGGGAACAAACCGCACAACCTCGTGTTGCAGGAGATATCCTGGGATCCTTCAGCAACCAGATGGGCAAGACCCTGGGATCAATGAGCTACAAGTAACCGAATGAGCAAGCCAGGCTGTCTGTCACCTTGCGTTTGTTTTTACTTTCAGCGACTAAATGCTAATTCTCTCGGTGTGTTCCAGGATTTCTTTGGCAAGTCGGATCCCTATTTAGAGTTTCACAAGCAAGGCCACGATGGGAAGTGGATGCTGGTTCACAGGACGGAGGTAGGATTGTCGGTTCTGGGGGGCGTCCTGGCACAGCCTGCTGCTGGGCCAGTGCTGTGGTGCTTGGGGGGGAATCAGGGACCTGCCCAGGCTGGCTCTGGCTCTGCAGACCTGACTCGAGCCTCTCTGTTGTTCGGGCCCGGGGGATTATACACTCACAGCAGCCGAAGTGAGTGTGAAAGTAGAATAGTGAATTGAGTTCTGTGAAAATGTGGCTTTAACCTCCCGGCCATAGGAGAAGACTAGACTAGCCTAGGACCCCAGTGCTTGTGAAAAGTTGACCAAAGGGCAGCTGCAAAGGTGGAGAGGGGGTGGAGGAGGGATCCTAAAACAAGCGAGGAAGAGGAGAAGAGGAGAGAGTGACGTTTGGTATATGTGGAAATCCGACATCACATTACATCAGAATAACTTGTGAGTTGCGGCAGCTGATCTTAATTAGTTTGGACAGGGACCTCTTCCCTCCCGAACTGTAATCCCAGTGCTTTACGACACTGTCTTGGATAGAACTTTGTTTCCAGACTCCGCGAGGGCAGCAGTGTTTTCCTCAGTGCTGCCCGTCTGTGACATTCTGACATTCCTTTGTCCCTCATGACCTTCTTGCCACTGAATCCACTGTTTCTGCCCCGTTCCTCTCTGAAAGGCTTCTCCAGCCTCCAGCCTCAAGTCAGGAGACAGACCCTGGCTTGTCAGAGCCCTGTGTGATGCACCCCCACTCGACCTCTGACCCCTGGCTCTGCAGAAATGTCACAAAGCCGGCTGGTGCGAAAAGTGCCGAAGCAAAACTGGCTGTCTTGGGAAAAGCACTGGATATTTTCTTGTACCCTATTAACATTAAAATAATCCTCGCCGTTCCCATGGACACGAGCACAAAAGGCTGTACAGATTTCGAGGCGATTGCTCATCGCAGCCAATGCCCAGGAAAACAGGCTGTTTTAGAAGCAGGAAAGCACTGCAGGAAATGAATAAACTAGACAGGGCTTTAATGTATTTGTGCATATTTGGTGATGTAATCTCTCCTGAGCACTGTGGAAGGAGGCACAGGGGTGGTCATTAACACTGCACAGGGCCTGAAGTCCTGGAAGAGAGGCTGGCGTTGCCGTCTTGAGCAGGGTACTTCATTGCAAGTGCTCCAGTAACATACCCAGCCGTACAGACAGGGGGTCGCTCTCCAGCAGGCAGATGAGTTCGAACAGAGAGAGTGTGAAATCTAAACGGTCAGGGATCTATGAAACGAAGAATTAAGCATCCTTGCTCTTTGATTTGCTTTGAGTTTTTCCCACTGGTTAAGAATGGTTTATTTCAACTTCAGTGCAACTAGGAAGAAGTCTATTTGAAAACAACTGACTAAATTTAGACTTTAAAAAAAGGACTGTTTCATTTTTTTTTAAAACATTTAAATGCACTATAAAGACATTTATTGTATTTTATCATACAAATGCAAGGGGGTCACTCCCAAGCTGTTGCAGTATAATTATACAAGGGCTTGCCTGGTTATTTTTGGAGTCTGAAGTTTAATTAAGTTTAAAATAGTGCACACACCTATTTTTACAGTGGAAAAAATAATATTTCTGGATGACTCACTCGCACACAGAGAGCTGTGCTTTGCCATGCAGGGTAGACTGCTGCTCCCCAGGGAACAGCTCAGTATTGTGAATGTTCTCCTGGACCAATGTGGATGGAAAGAATAACAGCCTTGAAGTCAGGATTTTCGGCTGGACCTGATAAAACCCGCATGCTTAAGGAAGGGTTGTAATCCTTCATTTTAAAAGAGGAGGCCTTTTTAGAAAAGAGGGTCCCAGCAAACTGCCGCTGTAACGTTGGGAGAGAAAAAATGACGAACTCTGTGGTTTTCCAACGAGGTGGAACGCAAGGCAGAGACAGAAAAGGAGAAAACGGGGAGTACTTATCCAAAGCTGTAGTCGTTAGTCGTTAGCCAGAAGATCAGAAAAGCAACAGTACAAGGACGCAATCTGAAGTCGTAGTCATTAAACAGATCCGGACATTGAGCCAGTAGATCAGCAAGGGAATCGCACAGAGGCGCAGGGAAGACGAGAGAGAGAGAGCTCTGCTCGTTGACCCAGTGCTGAGCGCTGTGATGAGGGTCAAGAGTCCATCAGTGTTGTGGGGTTCCAGGGGTGTGGTAGTGATCGGGGAGAGTGATTGGGTCATTAGTGGGAATTGGCAGGAGCTTGATTAGGATGGTCGGGAGCTGCGTCAGATCGCTGGCAGTATTTATTCTGATTAGGCGGAGCTGTGACAGCAGTGCTGTCCAGATTATTTGGGTCTGGAGTGCCGAGGTCAAGTCATCTGCAGGTGGTCGTGACACAGTCCGCATCTCCACGAAGAGCTCTCCTGAGGGTTGTCAACACACACCCCTGCAGTAGAATGAGCACAGGCTGTTTGACTTCCTCTTACTGCAGGTTTTGAGAGCCACTCTAGTGGTCTGTGATCTTGACTGCCAGACTTTATGGAGATTGAGCTTCACTGCCAGGGCTGTGCCAGCATGAGTGAATGTCCAGTGTCCAGCCACCTGTAGTGAGGGTGTACATCAGAGTTACCACTAGGGAAGGGCTCAGCACATCTTCATCGGCTCAGCGGTAGGGAGGAGCGAACGGGCTCTGCAGAGCTCTTCTCGTGGGGCGTTTAAGACCCCCTGTGTAAAGGGCTGGACTGTGGCTCTCCAGGAAGGGGCAGCTAGTCAGGGGTTTGAGGTTTGGGCTGAGGTTGTGTGTCGAGGTCCTGCTGTGGCGAGCACCGTGTGCGAGAGTTCGACTGAAGGGCGGGTTTGCTTCGGTCTGCGTGGAATGCGTGTGTGAGTGAGCAGCACTACACTGGGTCCTTTGTGTGTTATTGTTGGCTGGCTCCGAGACCCTGAGTCACTGCCAGCTCTGTCAGCGCCTTGCTGGCACATTGAGCACACTGGGGAGACGTTGAGCTTTAATGCAATACACATTCCTGGCCACTGCGTGAAACTGCCATTCCTTACTCCAAACCTGACCTCATAAGCAAAACAATACTCGTGCAAAATAGAATGGAATAAAATAGCAGTGAGTACATTTCTGAGACTTGCTTTAGAAACCAGCGTAGGTCCTGGCCTGACTAGCCAGCTCGTGTTGAAGTGTGATGTTTGAGCCGGCTGTTTTCCATGGAGAGAAAGCGCCGTTGTCTTCTGCTCTGCCAGTGTGCTGCACACCTGTTGGGGACGCTGTCAGATCACAGGCGTGTCGTGCTTTCCTGGTACAGGCGCTGAAAGCGTTTGTTTTTTCATTTCCAGGTCATCAAGAACACGCTGGACCCCGTGTGGAAACCATTCAGCATGCCACTGGTCTCGCTGTGCAACGGAGATGTAGAAAAAAGCATAAAGGCAGGTATTTCCTGCCGGGCAGACAGGCGTGCCCCTGTCATGCACCAGCAGAGCCCGTGACCATATGGGCGCCATTCACACGGAGAAACCGACTGGGAAAAACGTACTACTCGAAGAAGCCGCAGGTTCCACAGGCTGATGCAGAGCCAGCACACAAGCGCACCCCGTGGTGGCGCCGTAGAGCAGAGGACGAGTGTAGGAGTGCTCGTTTTGTTAGACAAGCATTTAAGCTAAAGGACATAAAGAATAAAAACAAACCTCATTCGCAATGGAGCAAGACCTTTGCTGTGGGGTTCGGAATTGCAGTCCTGCTTGGTGATGTGGCACACAGACTTAAAAGCCTGAATACTGCCAGATTTGATCCCAGTGCATTAAGCAGTTTCAGTAAACTCGATAAGTGTAATGAAAGCAAAGTGCTTCCTGGAAATATGTGTGGGCAAAACACAAAAGCGCCCCAGAGTTTAAAAGTTCCACAACACAGGTCCCACAAGACAAAAAAACACCCAAAAATCACAACACCGCGTGCCACACAGACACAGAGTCTGACTGAAGCTTACTCTCGCGCTCTGTTTCAGGTGATGTGCTTTGACTATGACAACGACGGGGGCCATGACTTTATTGGGGAGTTCCAGACCACAGTATCAAAGATGTGTGAAGCACAGAATTCAGCAGAGGTGAGAACCACACAAAGCGCAGAAAAGCAAGTGGGCTGTGGCCTAGGACTGGTTACACCACTATGGCCACCACTAGTGTAGTCAAGGCCAAGTCACCTGTCTTTACTGATGGTATCTTGTCCATGCAGGTCATGCACAACATACAGAAGCACAGCAAATAATTAGGGTGTGATTTTTTTAAAGCGTTTTAAAATCCACAAATGAGCCTAAATTGATTCAGAATACTTTTGTGTTGCAGAGAATGCCAATGAGAGGTGCAGAGTGAATTGGGGAAAGGCTTGAACTTGTCCAAGCCACACATAGTCCTCAGAGGTCAACAGTGTTGAGTACCTGCAGCCTATCTGAAGCACGGCTTAGCGTTTGAGCTCACTGAAGAGCACACAGACTGGCTCCCATTGCCAGAGTCTGGCAGGAAGCAAACTGGCTTGGTGATTTGTTAGCAGGCATTTAAAGCTGCATCATGCAAGCCTCCATCAGAACAACAGGTCCTCCAGGATGAACGTTAATCCTGCAGACAAGCCCGCACCTTCTGTTCTGCTGGAGGTCTGGCAGTCGGAGAGGAGTTGCTGTTTAGTTGTGAGGCTGGAAAACAGTTTGTTCCTCTGAGGAGCTGGCACTCCAGCGTGCCGGTTTATTAATCAGAACTAGTTTGCATCACGGACAAAACAGACTGAAAGCTCCATCACACTTTCCTTTGTTGTTGCTGTTATTATTATGCTAATATAATGTGTGTGTTCTGGTTCAGCGTTTTCAAGAACTTCTTTCTTTTTTAAATTAAAGTGGTCTTTACAGAATTCTCCAGTGGCCATTTGTTTTCATCGAGGAGATCAAAACAAATCCAGATCTTGCAGCAACTGCTCCTTTCTAACTCGCCTGCCGTCGTTGCCAGCTCTCCTGCAAACCTCCTGCCAAACCCTCAGACTCTCCCCTCGCAGCACGCAGCTCGTAGAAATCCCAGTTAGCTGCACAGTACTGAGGGCCCCAAGGTTATTCATCTAGAGATCTGATGGGATTTCATTGAAGCTTTGGAGCTGTTCTGAGGGACAGAGTTCTGGTCTCTGTTACCTAATATGAAAAGGCTTTTGTCATCTCCAGTGACTCTGTTCAAACCCAGGGTCTGATCGCACTCATGTTTATGTTCAAAGGAAAATGAAAGACTACTTTCTGCACAGAAACATAAGTAGCAGGAGTTGCATGAGAAGAGGCACTTTGAAAGGCGATTTCAAACTTTCGTAATGTACAGTACATGCCTCTAACATGTATGACATGCAGCTGCAAATATTGCCATTTCCTCACCTGGAGGAGCTCCCTCTGGAGCAGGGTGCAGGGTGTTCCCTGAGCACAGCGGAGGGCAGGGCCTGCGGTGGCCACCGTGAAAATCCTAATCCTGGCCATCTCCCCTCGCAGGTGGAGTTTGAATGCATCAACCCCAAGAAACAAAAGAAGAAGAAGAGCTATAAAAATTCTGGGATCATCATTCTGAAGTCATGCAAGGTAAATAGACCCAACTAACTCCTGAAGATATCTGTACGTACCTTAATCTCCTCTAATCTGCTATTGGTGCTTTTAATTATTCAAAATAATTCAAAGTGAAGCCAAAATAACCCGTGTTAAGAATACGTGTTAAGACAGGCATGAAAAATAATTATGCATGGTGTTAATGTCTTCTTATTGAACATTTAATGAGGCAGTGTAGCAGGGGAAGCAGTGTGCACGAGTGGACTGTTACTCCCCTGATCAAGGCACTTTGCTCAGACTGCTGCAGTAAACGCGCCTGCAATACAGCTGGGTCTGCAGGGTTTTTCTCAACAAGGATTTGTTCTCAATTGAGCGATCTGGTTAAATAACGAATTACATTTTTTTTAAAATGCTTTGGACTGCGACTCCATTGTCAGGGAACCGGCAGGTTGTGTTCCGAGGATCCTGTGCGTAGCCGTGAAATCTGCGGGATGCAGAGGCAAACGATCCGAAATCGTAATCCAGAAGCAAGGCCGATAGGAGAAGCTAGAGATCAGATAACCAGATAGATCCGAGACAAACCGAGAAGACGAAATCCAAGAGACGAGATCAAACGGGAAAAGTGAAGTCCAAAAACCGGGAAATCCAACGAGACAAAACACGCGCACTAGAGACTCTAAAGGAGGCTTTTCAATAGTGAGCATGGGTTGGTGCGTGAGGGAACTTTAAATATTGAGGGGGGAGGGACGTGGTGGGATAATTGGTCCAGGAGTGAGAATCTGTGGAATCTGGTGCCCGTGAGGTGATGGGTTCAGTCAGGAATGAGATCGTGAGACAGTGGGTTTGGGAATGTAGTGGCGTTTGTGAGGGCGAGTGTGGGGCATGACATCCATGCTTTGTGTGTTTATAAACAATCTCCTGGCTGCTCATTTCTGTGCATATTTGCTGTGAACTCTAGAAGCAGTCTCTATAATGGAGACATGTTGTTGTATTTTATCAGATTGCAAGAGACTACTCCTTCTTAGATTACATCCTGGGAGGATGCCAGCTCATGTTCACTGTAAGTATGCACCTCCATGGCCTCTGTAGCCACTCCTGTTCACAGACTCACAGGGGTGATGGGTCAGGGCTGTTTCACTGGCCTCAGGGCCAGAGTTTCTCCTCCAGCACCTACACCCCCTCACTGTGACACAGACACTGCTTCTCTGGTTTCCATTCCACTCAAGCACTTAATTAGATAATTAAAGTAATTATTCACTGAATTATCAATTTACATTCAGCACAAGCCTTATACCTAAGAGGAGACCTGAAGAAACTGCTGGGCTGTGGTCCTGCAGGGGAGGAGCTGGACAGCACAGGCTTAACAGGCAGAACAGTCCGTTCCTTTTGCTCACTCCTCCCTGCCAGCCTGCTGGAGTTTCAGTGGGAGAACAGGGAGCAAGCTGGGAATCTCCCATCTCACCCCTCACTAGTCCGTCTGCTTCTCTGCTGGCAGCCTGACAATAAGAAAGAATTAGAAATTAGGAAACTGAACTTGTGGAAATGTGGTGGAGTCTTAAATCCCATAGTTCCCTTCTGTTGGGGGGGGGGATTTGCAGAGCATGGTGAGCTGTTAATGGTTGGTAATTTCAGCCCTTGCATGAAGTCTGGTACTGGTTTCCCTCCCCTTACAAACACGGTAGAGAAATAAATATAGGCAAATTGCACAATGGAGGTCTCCTGGGACAAGCTGGAGGAGCATGATGGATACCCACTAATGACCCCACGGAATATACAATTCCAAGGGCTTTTTAGTGGATATAACTGCCCGTACTTTGCATTTTCCTGTGCTTTGTTGTGCCCACACCTCTTTCTGCTCTTGCACCGTCCCAGTGTGCTTGACTGCCTGTGCACCTCAGTGTTCAGTGTCTTCAGTAGTTCGGTGAGCGGGGTGGCGGCCCGTCGTCCTCAGCAGGTTGCTTGCGTGCAGCTGGGCGAGTGACGCTGCGTGCCTGCTGGCCCAAGGAGGTCAGCCGTGTCTCCCTGGTGGGATCACCGTGAGACGGTCAGATCAAGTTAGCGCCATGCGGTGTTTAATTTAGTCCTTTGACGTCTTCTTTCTTGATTTGCGTCTTTTTTTTTTGCTTCATACCAGGCATTTGAGCTCTCTATATATAACCGTGTGAATTTTATTTCCGTGATTGTCAGAGAGAAAGACGCAGGCAGAGAGAGTAAGGTTGTCATGGAAACAGCAGCCCCTTGCAGAAGCAATCTGCTCACTTGAACTGAGGGGAGAAAGGAAGAAATAAGGCAAAGGGCAGAGTGCCAGCGAGCAGAGACTGTCTAAATACACAGGACAATCAAATACACCAGTCTGATCAGTATCGGGATCAGGTCCTGACACCCGCTGGTTATGCAAGCGAAATAAAACGTTAGCAGCTATGCACCCCCAGTTTTCACACACCATGGCGTTCACTTTGTTTGTTCTTGAGCAAAAAAAAAACAGGTGGCAAAACTTAAAAAGGACAAACAAATATTTATGTACAACATACAACGTCTGTGGCTCTGTGCAGATATTTCGCAATCGGTGAGAATCGGAGCCCAACCTTCTGTAAACACAGGAACCCCACAACTGCCTGGGAACCCAGATAGATGCAAGACCCTGGACAAAGAGGAAAGCTGGATCCAGTAAAAGGTGCTCTCCTGACACACAGGCCAAATGCATCTGAAACTGAGACATTTCTTACAGCCTGGTGGATTCCACACGTGGCAAACCACACTACTTCCACGGCCAGCACTAAACATCATTCCCTGCAGTGCTGAAATCCCCTGGAAGTCCTGCAGTCCTGGTCTATAAAGGAGGAGAGTTGCTTCTACTCACTATTACGATCTCTTCTCTCCCTGATACTGTCTGCTTTACCTGTGTCTAATCCCCCACCAAGGCTGACCTAATGATTTAACTGCAATCCTGCTGTCTCAGTAAAAAAAATACTACAACTGTTTGGCCATGTGTACAGCTCCAGGAGTGATAAGATAAAGGCAGTTGTGCATAATTATCTTCACAAAAGGGAACTTGCACTGCAGTTTATAAACGGAGCGGTGGCTCTGTGGCTGTGCCTGTGACTGGAAGGTTGCCGGTTCAAATCCTGCAGCTGGCAGAGGAGTCCTACTCTGCTGTGCCCCTGAGCAAGGCCCTTCACCCCAACTGCTCTAGGGGAGCTGTATAAATGGCTGACCCTGCACTCTGACCCCCAGCTTCTCTCCCTGTCTGTGTCTCATGGAGAGCAAGCTGGGGCATGCGAAAAGACAAATTCCTAATGCAAGAAATTGTATAGGGCTAATAAAGCAATATTATTATTATTATTATTATTATTATTATTATTATTACCACCAATTAGATTTATTTGGTGTCACACAAATGACCTTTTTATACTTTCTTTCTCGGTAGATTATTGTAATTTAAGGACACCCACAGACATGCAATACTGGAATTTAGGATTCTGTGTCCCACAGCCCTTGGTAATCCTTGCCTTTTGTTAGAGGGAGAAGCTTCTTAGATTTTTATAGAAACCTTTTATTTCCCAGCTCCTCCATTGGAATGTGGGGGAGATAGGTTAATCTGTTTTTAGGGAATTATCCCCACTGTGATGACGATCTGAAATGCAAAGTCCTGAGTTTTATTTTCTTGAAGTCCGAATCCTGGAAACTAGGGCAACTCTGCTTCCTTTGCAAACACAGTAAGTGGGCTTGTGGCACAGCAGCCCAGCTCTGGGGATCGTGTGCAGAAACAGTTTGTGCGCTGCTGGCCGTTGCCAGTGAGGGTGCAGCATGTGCTGCAGAGAAGCTGCGCAGGTGATTAATGGCAAGAGCAAGAGCGTTTTATTTAACATATCTTCAGAAATAAAAGGCTTGACATCAAATACGCCCCTTTCTCCTGACGTGACCTATCAGCGTCCTGCGGGAGAAGCTGAAGTCCGGTTCCACTGGCATGCCGGACATCAGCGTGACGATCAGAGACGCACCACTGTCAGGCCCAAAGCTGAAAGACCGGTCACAGACGAGAGGACCCGCTTGGCCCACGCCGCCCGTTTGGCAGTTAGAATCTAATTGAACCCAGGATTTCATCCAGCCGTTTCTTTTAAAAGCCAGCATGCTGGCTTTGACAGCTTGTTCCAGACTCCTACAACCCTTTGGGTAAAGAAGTGCCACTTGTTCTTGCTTTTAAATGCACTTCCACATAACCTAGCTTTGGCCCTTTTTTCAGTCTGTCTTTGGGATTTTGTGCCCTTCCTCATGAGCGTCCTGTTTCCTGTGAGGTTGGTGGGTATCGAACGAGGGGCTTTGTGATCACCTGTTCATGCACAGAAGGGGCTGATTAAAGTGACTGATCCTGTGAACATGTGGAAGCCAGCTGTTGGACCTCATTTTGAATCTTTTTTTACAAAAGAGAAAACGTCCTTGTGCAGGACCACAGGAATGCTTGTCTCCTGGACGTGATGTCAAGGAGAGCGCACCACAGTTACTGGAAGGAAGATTTCTCTGGCACATGTGTTCCAGGATGCTGATGGTCTCTATGGTGATGTTGCATCTTAATAAAACCCATTACTGCAAATTGAGGCGGTTGTGTCAAGTGGGGAGTACAGAGCAATCTAGTTTCATTCCAGCAGCAGAGAATCAAAATCCCCATGGAGTC